TTTAGATAAAAAGTCAATTTATCGTCTTTTACATCTTAATAATTGTATATAAAATTATCATAAGACTGTTATTATTTTTATTTCTTCTTGTGATTACCAATACCACTAAAGATATAAAAAAATGAATATAAAAATGTTCGCTTCTATACAATTTAATCCAAATAAATATTCCTAATTACAACAATACAATTAAAAATCATAATTTACAGTATTAAAATTAATTAATTCATAAAACCATTAATTATAAATATAAAAAAATTAACCCAGTTAATCAGTCATAAAAATATTCACTCAGGCGTTACCTATCGTACTCAACTAATGAATTTTATAATATTATGTAAGATTCCAATTATTAAAATTTTCTCAACAGTAGTTATAATACATTTAATAAAGAAGTAGTAATAATGTTGAGTGACATCTTTTAAGAGATAAGTTTTTGTGTTAAAATTTTAAATATACTGAGCCAAATTATAATCGAGCAAATTAATAGACTTATATAATATTATTATTATCATCGTAAATTTTAGATAGCGTTAAATAAATAAATACAAGATAAACAAAAATATACCTGATCAGGTTAATAACATCGTCTAATTGAAAAATCATGTCTAAACAATGTATACGTAGAACTGATCCGCATCTTCTAGCTGCCTCAAAACAATAAAATATGGATAAATAATTTATAGCTTCTCTCAGAATTCAAACTGCATGCTGGCTAGTATGTTGTTTAAAATTTCCTGCAATTAGCAATTGAATATTAATAAAAAGAACTAAACTTAATGATTATAAATTCTTACCTTGATAAATATTCTAATTTGCAGTAATATGTTAAGAAGAAGAAGAAGATGAAGGACTTGGTGAATTGTATCTAAATTGACCATCAATTTGAGGAACAATATCAGGAGTTACAGGTCGACTTTCAACCCCTAAAATTTCACTATAACCTTCTCTATTATAATCCAGTGAGTTCAAATTTTTCTCAATTATAGAGTCTGAATTATCACTATGAGAATTATCAGTGTTTTCTTCGCGAAACGCATTATTTTGATATTGAGAAGCAGCTTCATCATCACCACCGTCTGGTGAGTCACGAGTAGCTTCTGTACCTTCTGGAGAATCACGAGTATCATCTTCACCTACTAGGTGATCACGAGTATCTTCTTCTCCTTCTGGAGGATCACGAGTATAATCTTCACCATCTGGAGGGTCGCGAGTATCTTCTTCACCTTCTGGAGATTCACGACTAGCTTCTTCATTATTACTACCTTCTGGTGATTCACGAGTAGCTTCCTCGTCGCTATCACCTTCTAACAAATAACGCGATATCATTTTGTCAATTAAAACTGTAGTATATTTCTTTTTTAAAAAATTTATAAATGTTAATATGTAGAAGACACTAGGAATTAATTAGCTCGTGGCAAGACTCTGCAATTTCGATTTGTACTTATAGATGCAAAATGTTTGACTGTCAACTAGTCAATGATCTCGCATGACTCATCATCAAAATATATGAGAATTGTACTTGTAATTTATTTCTATTCTAACTACAATTTCTATGAATTTGGATCTGAGCTTTCTATAGCTTAAAGACTATAAGTACCTATTTATTTTATTATTTATTTCATTATACTAAAACCAGCAAATATCTGATAATTTTTTCAATTTTTATAACAAATCAATTGTAATAAAAATAATTTTTTTGCATTATTCGCATTTATAATTTTTTTTAATTCATACATGTGGAATTTTGACTAAATTTTTTTCATAACAATTTAACTGTTATAAAAATCTGAAAAAAATTAAAAATCAATTTTTTCACTTCTTAAGAATTTGTTTCAGTCTTTGGTTGATTAAATTTGAGCATTATAATTCGTTATTCTATCATCTGTACATCATAAATTAAATATACCTAGCATAGTTGAGTAATAATACTTAAATTAACAATCATCTAATAATTGTTTAGATTTTTTTATAATAAAATTATATAATGAAAGAAATTTAGTAAAAAAATTTCACATTCCAGTTTGCTGAATTCAGTATTATTTTGATTATTATCAAAAATGTATGCATTATTTTAATTCATTATCATCCATAGATTTTAACGATTTTTGGTTTTTTGGAATAATATTATAACAATATTTGTTTAAAAAAAAAAAAAAAAAAAAAAAATATCATTGTTTTAGTTTTAAAATTTGCACTCAACTAGTGATTTATGATAGCAGTTGAATTAAGATCAATTTTAAGAATTACATTACTATTATCAAATAAATATAAATAAAAGTAAAATTAGTCGACTTTTGATAATTTCTTAGGTTTTTCTTATAAAAAACATGATTAAGAAAAAATTAAAAATTTCACATGTAAAAAATTTTGAAAAACTATGAGAGCAATTTTCAGAAAAATATTTTTTCAGTTCTAGTCTAGGTATTGCATAAAAAAAACCAATAAGTTGTTGAATGTAGGCTGATTTCAGTATCATAAATATAGTTATTAATAATAAATATTTTGAGTTGATAGAATTATCTGAATTTTCTGCATGACATTAAATTTTTTTATAAATAAATTATTTGTTAGAAAAAATTGAATAATTAATGTATATCGATTATTCCTAAAAAATTTTTTTACAAATGTTGCTTTTAAATAATTGAAAATTGAATTATTTCAGAAGCTTGAAGAAAAAAAAGTAACAATAAGAGATAATCAACTACAAACAATTTCAAGGTTTTAGAAAGATATTAGTTATTTTACTTGAGTAAGTAATAGTAAAGTATATTTTACATTCCAAATTAAAGCTTAAAACTATCCTTGAATAAATGTTGGAAGTAACGCCTAACCGTCTTACCCCATGAGTAGTGGGGAGGTCATGTGATGTCAT